ACGACAACAAAATTGGGTCTGATGGGATGAACCAGCAAGCCACTTGCAACCTCCTTTGCAATCCTGAAATGGCAATCCAGACATTGAGCCGTAAACCCTTCAACTCGAATCCCCAAGCCCTAAACCCTACATTATATAGCAAGCAGCAGCTTCAAACCTTGACCCCGGACCCTCAGACATATGGCAGCTTCAGAAACTAAGGGACACCACCAAACCTCAATACATCCTACCGGCAGGCCAAAAAACCTACCTTTCCAGGAACTCCATAAAGAAACCATAATTAACCGAGAGGGGCCACATATACTACTATTTATGGAAGTAGGCCACCAGAACCGTTAAGTTATTCGGATGGAGTCTTGCGGCCCGATTCCCGAATGGTAGTATATATGGACCCTCTGCACAAGGAACCCTCCCTGAACCCTAAACCCTAAACCGTTTCGGAAGGGTTCAAGTAAGCCCTAGGAAACGCGCCTCATCGTAAAGCTCGAGGAGGGCCCTTCCTGGCTGAGAGTTTGAGTTGGGATTTAAGGGTTTGGGGTTTAGGATTTTTTATATAGGGGTTTGGGGGTTTAGTGTCTGGAGCGGTGTAAGGTTTAGGGTGGGAGTTTGGAGTTGAAGATTGAGTGGCTTGGGCCCAAGGGACCTCTGGTTTGGCTTTATGGTGGAAGGGCAAGTGCAGCTTGAGCCGACGAAGCTTCGTGAGTGTTGGGTTCGTTCTTCTTGGAGCTTCCTTCACTGTTTGTGTCTGTCTTCTGGCCTACTATAGGAGCTTTGTATAGTTGGTCTTTAGATTTTCAGTTGGAGCGAGGTCTTGAGGTAGATTACGTTGTCCGAATCGGAGAAGGCCTGCTAGCGAACTGTCTTGGCTTTCTTGGAGCAGGTCTGCGTCACTCCGATAGCACCGAAAATCCACTCGCTTCTGGTGACTCCTCGCACGGACTTGCCAAGGTGCTGGATGGAGACCACCTGCTTGTTGTCGAACTCAATCTCGTGCTTTCGAAGCAGCAGCAGCGGCCAAGGGTAGCCTAAGGTCCGCCTGGTTTCGAGCCCTGAGGATTGCTCGCCGACGATCTTGGTCCTTGCATCTGGTGTCGCAGGTCCTCGGCTTCCCAAACCTGTTTGCCACCGTAGCCCTCTTCATCTTCCTCCACAAACTCCGCGAGCTCCTTGCTGCTCATGGCACCGAGGCTAGGGTCCGATTCCTGCATATTGGTGCAACGGTTGATGATATAAATCCTGCATGACCTTAAGGTCCCTAAACTATGGGAATTATGGGATATTCCTTATTATGGGCAATGCAGGGTTTATATCCTCAACCGAAGGACGGCACTCCCTACTAATATCTAACTCAGACCCGGCTTTGCCCATAGATTCGGGGCACCGTTCAGAGATTACGGGTCTAGTGTGATTGGTTTCAGGAGTGTTTAAGTTTCGGGATCTGGGATTTTGCCGAGGTTGCTGGCTCGAGTTTTGTGGATTTAGGGTGTGTCGGGAGGTTTAACTCTACTGACAGGCTCGAAAGACACGGATATGCATACGTGTGACTCTGAATAAATCTGATCCTTCGTGCTTCGATGTAGACGATGTCTGAAACCATGGCTTGAATCTTTACCTGGACCCTCAACAACCTACCTTAGACCCATATAAGTGAATCAAAATCAGGACCCCTACGAAGGCACGTTCTTGACGTCCAGGGGATATGGCCCTTCTAGAGCTGCACGTGTTAGCCTCAGCTTCCAAGTGCTCAATAATCGGGTACTTCAACCTATTGGACAACAACAAAAGGAATCCCAAGGAATAGTATTGGCAAGCACTCAGGCTCTTATCATCGTACTTCTAGTTCTCAAAAGTTTTAAACCCAAAGCTCCCAAACACAGCTACAAAACCCTAAACCCGATATAACCCAAATAACCAAACAAAGCTACAAGCCCTGAACCTGAAGACTCGAAGAGTCCCCCAAAAATTGAGACATCGCACCCTAAACCCTAAACCGTGGCTCTGGCACCCAAGGCGGAGAGGCTGTGGGGGAACTGAAAGCGCTGGCACTGTTCCACCTCCCGGCTCTCGGGTACTATTAAGGGCCATAACAATGAGAATAGGGCTCCCTTTAAGGGTTCCAAAAAAGGGATACTGTGAGGGATCTACAGTAGGGTTGCATGATACAGGGTCCTTAATAATTGGAATAGGGTTTTGGGGCCCATTATACTATAATTACAATAGGGAGCCCCCTAAATAGGCTTTCGGGTTGATTGGAAGGTTTATTAGGGTTAAGGCCTTGGGGGGTTTAGGGTTGAGCGTTTTAGGGTTGAGGGGTTGAGGTTTCAGGCTTTGGAACAGAAATTTGGACTGTTCCGGTGTATCCTCTGATGCTACAAAGCTGAGCCGCTTGACTAGAGTTTAGATGCCCAACCACAGATGCAAGATCCAAGGCCGGAAGTTAAACGCTTTCCTGTCTTGATACGGTGGATGGATAAACTTCTGCATTACCCAAAGTATAATATAGTACCAGACTTCGCGTCGTTTAGATATATTATAGGGCCATGCAGGATTTTGTCCATCAACAGCAGTGGTCAGTTCAGCTCCTTCTGCGAAGCTGAAAAGGCCGCAATGCAAGGTTTAGAGCTTAGGTTTTGAAGCTGTTTCAATATTTGGAGCCTAGGGCTTGTGATAGCAGGCGGCAGCATTTAAGCAGGAGTTGGGATTCATGTCAACAACTCTGACCCATCCCCCGGGACCTAAGCTCCAAGATAAAGGCTGTACCCCTTGAACCCAAAACAAGCAGCCCGTAACCTAAATCTAAACACTCAACACCATCCAGGCAAGCACTAAACAATGAACTCTTCAGCCGCAAATGGCGCAAAAGTCTATATTCAAAACCCGTTCTGCCCCAAGACTCAAAAGTCTGCACCTTAGCACCAAAGCACTTTCATCATCACCTCCGAGAAGCCGGACCCCCAGCGCCAAAATCACTGCGCCACCCAGCGAAAACCTCAACATGGATTAACCTCTGGCCCATACGACTCTCCAAAAGTAAAAGGAGGGACCCTTAACAAGGACCCCTACGTATATACCCTTAATATAGCCATTATATACCCAGTATTTAGCCCATTATGGGGTAGGGGTCCCCATTAAGGGTCCCTCCTTTTCCCTTTGAGACTCTGATAAAGCCCGTATACACGCCTGCAGAACTGTAGAACCATGTAGAACCCCTACAATTCCTTAATAAGACCTCGTAAAACTCGAACCAAACGAACTCTAAACTTTCAATAAGCCGTATCTGTCCCGTAAAGCCTGTAAACCCTAAACCTAAGCCCGAAAACCTCGGCCCTCACCGTTAAACCCTAAACCCCAAACTCTAAACCCTAGAACCCCCCCAATAGCCCGAAACCCTCCACCCCCTACGCCCTAAGTCCGGAACTTTAAATACAAAAGCCCCAAGCCCGAAACCCTCCGGTTCCCTAAGCCCGACAGAGCACCAAGATGGAAACCCTAAACCCTAAACCCCTAAACCCAAAATCCTAAACCCCTAAACCCTAAACCCCTAAACCCCCAAACCCTAAACCCTAAGCCTTGCAAGCTGCCAGGGCGGTGAAGGTGCCGAGATCCTCGCCATCGGCGAGCTGTGGGTTCAGACTCTACATACGATTGATGATAGAAATCCTGCATTACCCATAATTATTAAGGAATATACCATTATTCCCGTAGCTTAGGGTCCTTATAGTCATGCAGGATGTATATCATCAAAAATAGGGATTTAAACCCTAAGCCCCAAACCCTAAACCCCAAAACCTAACCCCCCCCCCCAAAATGAGGGGACCCTAAAAAAGGGGCAAAAGGGTACCAGTCAGTAGCCGAGACTACGATTCGGATGGATTCGTTGGGTTTTTTATGGTTTAGGATGGTCTAGGTCTTTTGGATTCGAGGGATGAAGGGTTTTATGATATGGCATCACTCCTCATGATGCACTGGCACATCATCTGTCCCGCGGGGCAAAAAGATCTGAACGGGGGATGTTGGGTTTAGGGTTTAGGGTATCTCCGTGTCAATCTCGTTGCCATGCTCATCCAGGGCAATGCTCGCACACTGGAAAACCGGGGCGAGCCCCTGCTCTTGGTAGTCCAGGAACAGCAGCTCGTCTTCACCTTGCTGCTGCTCCACTTCTGCAGCATGCTTTTCCGATCTGTTTCTGGATCGGCGCTTTGAACGGTTGCGTGCAAGAAAGAGGCGGAGGCAGCGCTGCCCTTGTTTGGCGACCTGTTCGTTTGAAGGGCTGTGTTGCGGGAAGACGAGGCACGCCTCTTAGGTCAGCCATTCGATGGAGCCGTCGCTGTACAGCCAACAGCAACTCGCATACGAGTCGATGCTCTGCTCGATGAGTCAAGTTGAAGCGATCGTATTATTACGAGCAACTACTTCGGTCTGTCTCGGGAGGTTTAAGGCTCTTGAAGGAATTTTCGCAGCTGTATGGATAGCTTTGCATGAGCGAAGTCCAGCACCACAACTTTCGGACGGTGGGCTTATGGGCTACGGATGCTAGGAGGTTGTCCGAATGAGACCCGATCGAACCCCCCCCTTGGCCGCGGGTCAATGAAGTCTGACAAAACAGCCATCAGTCTCCATCGACCCGGTTCTCCCATCTCGACACCAAAACAAAGTTCTTCCCCAGCCAATTGAACTGAAGTACACGTAGCGAAATCGTAACGGTGTCTCGAGGCTTCGGTTATCAAGGCATACGCGTTCAATGAATGTCTAAGATTTCAGATCTGAGGTCAAGGGCCACAGGGCGCAAGGGTTATGGCGGAAGTTTATAGGGTGTGACACCCTCCATTGACCTCGGCCGCTGAAACCCTAAACTCTACTTATAAGGTTCCAAACAGGGTCTTGGGCCTTCTGAGGTGGGGTTTCGGCTTTGGGGGCTAGGGTTCGGGATCTCACTACAAGGGTCCAGGAGCCTTAGGGTAAGCTCCAAACCCCTAAAGCGGAAACTCCATGGGTGGCTCCTCCGGTCTCAGCAGCGTGCGCACGCCTGGTATCGGCCGTACTTGTAACCCAAGGGCGCGAGCCATTAGAACACGATCTTGAGATGTACATGCAAGTATGCAGGGAATATATTGGAATATTTGGATGTTCGTACTACTTTTTCCGACCCTACAGGAAAATCCTTTGTTTGGGGCTCTGGGATATGTCCATGCTTTAGAGTCCATCAGGGTTTCAGTCATTCCGCGATCCGGTAGCGGTGATCCTCCGGGCCTGTAGGAGCTTCGAGGCGTTTAGGCTAATAGTACCTATACCCTAAGGGTCCAAGTACTTCCTATTTATGGTTTTTGGTACCTAAAAAGGCCCTAAAGTCCTATAATAGGGAGTACTTGGACCCTCTGGGATACTATTTTGGGGGCTCCTTAATATAAATATAGTATAGCGGGCCCCCAAAACCCTATTCCAATTATTGAGGCCCCTGTATCATGAGACCTATGGCAACGGGGTTTCATTGGGCTTTTAGGGTAAACGGTTTAGGGGCTTTTGGGTTTAGGGTTCTGAAAACTCGGCGTCGACTTCCCGGTTTCTGCTATTGAGGAATGAGGCTTGTAGACATTTGGGGTTGCGAGTTCAGGACAATGTTGTAGAAAGTGCCTTGTTTCCGACCCAGTGAACTGCTTACCACCTTGCACCATCTGAAAGTCTCCTAGGCACCCACCGCGAAAATCTTGATTTTCTTCCAACCGCATCCTCGGCCCCTGCTCAACCTGCCCCCAAACAGGGCTGGTGTAGGCCTGTCGTGTCCTCCACAAGCAGGCCAGAAACCTCGGACGAATGGTGGGAAGATCTGCATAGAAACCCTAGACACTGAAGTAGTCACTATATCACTAGGATGCCCATTAACATAGGAATAAAAAGGGCTCCCTTTTTGGTATTGGGTAACTTTATAAGACCTAGGACTACGAAAGGGCACTACTGGGCATCCTAGATCAGGATTTCAGACACGTTGCCGGTTTTCAGTCGTCCCGTCAGAGTAGCGGGTACCCTTTTTCCCACTATGCGGTTTTGAATAAGGGGACCTTCGGACAAAAAGGGCCAAAGGGCACTACTCAGAAACCTACCTAGTATATGGGAGTTTCTGAAAAGAGGGGACCCTAATATAGCACCCTAAATAGTAGGATCCTTATTATAAGGACCCCCCCAAAACAAGGTACCCCTAATTTCGGAAACTCCCATAGCCTCTTCGGACTTCTGGATGGCTCTATTGGGCCGAGAGCACCAACGATCCGAACAGCGTTATATCGGGGCCTTGATAATTAGAAAAGGGCTTTGGGGCCCATTATACCATAGGCAAGAATAGGGAACCCCAAAATACGGTTGATGTTGTTAACCCTGCATATCCTTAAAGACCCTAAACTTTGGGAATTATGGTAGATTCCTGATTATGGGTAATGCAGGATTTATATCATCAGCCGCAGTACAGGTATTTACGGCCCCTATAATATTAAGCTTTGGCAACCTCACAGGGACGAGTGACACTTATGCGACATGACGGACAGATAGCTGTACTTTTTGCTATGGGTTTTCAAAGCCATGCTGTTCCTCATCCAAACATGGGGTTTAGGGTTCAGGGTTTAGGGACCCTGCCGCTGCCCTCGGCTCGCTTCTCAAGCCTTGTCGTCGGCTGCGACCTTTCAGCGGCCAGCAGGAACCGTCGCACTTCCTCCGGCCTGCGATGGTTCGGGAGCCCTGTGGGTGCGTCCGGGCTGGCCGTCGGTAAGGCTGGCGCAAGTAAGTCATTCCTTGGCAATGAATGGCCGGCTGTAGGGCAGTTCGGCTGCACGAGTAAACATCGGGCCGGATCTCGAAAGCCTCCCGTTTCTGCAGCACACCCGCTGGTTAAATGCTTGCATGACTGCTTCGACGTCACCAGGTCGCTCCACAATATTCATTGACGCAGCGGTTTGATGGCTCCAAACTCCCAGCAACAGCACATGTCTAGAGGGCCAGATTGCTGAGCGATTGGAGTGTGCCAATGAACGTGCCATGCTCTTTTATTGTGCATGCACGATTTCGTCCATCCAGCGCATCAAACTACCTCAGGCCAAAAAGAATCACAAAACCTAACTTTGAACCTTAAAACCCAAAAAGCCCAAAACTCTAAACCCCTAAACTTCCCTCAACACTAAAAAGGACCCTAAACCCTAAAGCAACGGCACTTGTTTCCAGCAGCCCTGATTTGCCTCAGGCCCGAAGCCCTATGGCCACTACCCCCAAAGCCCAACAAGGACTCGACCCCAAAACCTAATCCGGTTTAGGGTTTACGGTTTAGAGCCTGAGGCAAAAAACAACGCTTTGAAAGAACCCTTCTAGATCCGGTTAAAGGAACCCAGAGACCCTTATACAACCCCCCCCCCCGCCGCCGTCACCCTTCTAGATACCTTTGAAAGAACCCTATGACCCCAAAGCCTAAAACCCCCCAAAGCCCAGGTTTAGGGTTTAGGGTTCCAGAAGCACCGAGGTTGCGGCCTCCGTTCGACCCTTCTTCAGGCCCACTGCCATGTCCTGGCTCGGTCTAAGGTTTACCCTACGGGTCCAAAGGACCCAATAATTAAGTACTTAAGTTCTGGATGGTAGTTATGTAGGTTACTATTTGGGAGAGTATATGATTGTTAGGTACTTGGACCCTTAGGGTAAGCGTGTGGGACTTCGGGGGTTAGGGTCGTTGCCGCGTAAATGTCCCGAGCTTGAGATCTAAGCACTTTGCTTTTATTTTGCGAGTCTTCAATCTTCACGCTGCATTCTTGCGTTTAGGGGTTACCTAGACCCCCAAAAGCAGGTAAAATAATGGCCCCAAAACCTGTAAAAGGCTATTATTCTACATACCTTTGGCTGATGAATTTCAGCAGTAAGGGATTTATGACTTGAACTTGGGGGCCGTTCATGGACAGCCTAGGGTCGGGCCTTTAGGGTAAGACTCCGGCCGTCTTGCTCGGGGCTTACTTAAAGGATCATGGGACTTAGTAACTAGGGTTATAATTCGGGTAACTATACTTATAACTACTTATAACGCCAATTAACGTACTTATAACCTTACTTACTAAGTTCCATGATCCTCCAAGTAGGGTTTAGGGTTTGGGGTTCGTTGTGGTTTTAATGTTGAAAGGGGTTCTTTGAGGGTTGTCGGGCGTGTGGGGCAAGGGACCCCGGGCTGCGCTGAACATCTAGAGCGAAGAGGTTCGAGGAATCGAGTGTAGGGTATCGCTTTCATCAGTCCATGCACTTGCTCGACTGTTGTAAGCAGTCTGGCGATCCTGTTGAAATCATGGAAGCAACCTCAACGAATGTTGGGGCATGAAAACATCATGCAAGACCAATAGTCCTTAGAAGGGGCCCCCACCCTGTAATAGTGGCTAGAAGGATTATATTGTGATATTCCTATTATACCACTACTACAGGGTGGGGGCAGCTTCTAAAATAGTCCCCTCAACTTCAACATCACCGAAACTATTTCATCGTGATGCAGTACTCCGCACACCCCGAATATAAAAATCCCTGAACTGTGGTGTCAGAGCTTAGGGAAAAAAAGAGACAGGACGACTCGCCCGGTCAAAAAGCTCTAACCACCTTGCGCCGATAGAGGCCCCATACCCTAAGCACTGAAAATTGATGAAACATCACAGACTCCTGAACAATCTCACAAACACGACTATACAAGAGCTATACTCCCTCAACCTTCTACGCAAGCACAATGAAGTGTTGTGATCCCTGAAGCCCTGCAAGATACGATGAACCACTGAAAACCCGAAACCCCATCCAAAAGAAGCACCGTCATAGACCCCTAAACCCGAAACTCTACTCCATTTTGGATGATAGGCCTTAGGCCTTAGGATTCAGCAGGATTTCAGGCCTACCCGGTTCCCCAAACCTTAAACCCTGCAAAACCAAACCCAAAAGCCTAAACCCGAAACCCCCAATCCAGCAACCCTAAATCCCGATGTTGAAGATTGAAAAGAGCTGGGGTTCAGCACGAAGAATTCTTACGCACCCCATAGACCCCTGTCAAAGATCTCTTACGGACCCCTTTAACAGAACCCATAATGCCATATCCCTTTAAGGGAGCCCCAGAAAGTGGGGGTGAATCCGAAAACCCAAAACCACGAAACCCTATACCCTAAACCCCTAAACCCCAAAAGCCCTTAAATCTAAACCCTAAACCCCTAAACCTTAAAAGCACTTAAATCTAAACCCTAAAACCCTAAACCTTAAAAGCCCTTAAATCTAAACCCTAAAACTCTAAACCCTAACCTCCACGATGGCTCCCACGGAGTCGGCGGATCGGTCGGCAGGCACCCGCAGGGCCACCGTCTGACCTGAAGCATGGAGACAGCCCATAGGGTTTTCATAGGGTTCCTTGAAAGGCGTTACGATAAAGGCTACTAGACGGGCTATAATAAGGATGTAGTATAGGAAGCATGGAGACAGCTTACCTGGAGGTTCAAAGAAGGGTTCCTCCATACAATTCTTATATTATACAGTACCCCACAACTCTCCAGCGCCCTCATTATGTCAATCTTCTGTGGCTCTGCGGCACTCAGCCTAAACCGACACACGGAACCCGAAGCACAGAACCCATAGGCCCCATCAACCATGAACTGCTAACCCTCCTAGTTAGGTGTACCTCAAGTTGATGTCGAAGGGTAAAGCAGGTGCTACTGCCACCATGTATTTCTGCATGCCAGGTTACATGGACACTGGCTGTTGGCTTCACTTGTGATGGGTAGGGCAGTAGGCTTTCAGGTCTGGTATCGTAGGTTGCCCAGAGGGGTCCAATGAAAATACCATTCTGGAATTCGGCCCCAAAAGACAATTCTGATCCTGGTTTTGCTTAACTCCATAACAGTAGTACATATGGACTCAAATCCAAGCTGTCAAACCGAGGGGCAGTTCTGCGGTGCTGTGACGTTCAAGTCCGGATATTCCTGTGCAGCAGCGCGAAGCATACCCTTCGGGTTCATGGTGGATCTACCAGGGTTTAGGGTTGAGGGCTTTAGGGTTTAGAGTTCTTGGAGCATAAGGTAACGCTTTCGGAGCTTAAGGCTTAGATCTTGATGTTTTCTGGTTTTGGTGTTAGCGGCTCGGGGCTTCAGGGCTTTGTCACTGTCTTTCGGGCATTAATTTGAGGGCAGTTGGTGCTTTTAGGCTTTACGGCGTTAGCCCTACTTGGAGGATCATGGGACGCAGTAAGTAGGGTTATAAGTACCTCAATGAGGGTTATAAGGAGATGTACTTATAGTTACCTTACTTATAACCCTACTTAATTAGTCCCTTGATCCTTTCAGGAAATATGCTTATAGTTACTTGACTTATAACCATAACCCTATTTGCTTAGCCCCTGGATCCTTTAAGTACACCCTAAACCTTACAGCTATCTGTGAGTTTCTGGCAACGCTTGCCGTCGGACGTTGCTCTTTGGGTTCAGGCTAAACAGAACTCTACTTGGAGGTTGATAGGCAGTTATATGTGGAGTTATAAATAAGTTATAAGTCCCCTAAGATAGGTTCAAATTTTAAGTTATTGTACTGATAACCCACTAATGAAAACCCATGAACCTCCAAGCACCCATACCCGAAAGCTCTAAGGCTCAGGCGTTTGGGCCGAACGACCACATTATGAGGCTTTTGGGCTATTGTGAGCCTTAGGGATAAAGTATGCTTTGTTCATAGCTTCCTGGCTTTGGGACCTATGTATAGGCCGCTTTGTGACCAGTTTGTAGCAACCCATCATGTAAGCATCTGGAACTCTACGTCAAAGGCTAAGTAAATAGCGTTTCTTGTTAAGTGAAGCAATTATGCTTACAAACACTTCCTAGTGAAGGTACCGATACACCATAGCATACTTATTATAACAACCCAACACCATACCAAATCATGGGTGAACCCTACACCCTGCACTCTGACACCCCAAAACCCCGCTAGAAACAATTTGTCAACAGAAAAGAACCACACACATATCTACTCATGAATGCTAGTTTGCACAGTAATTCCTTGCTGTTGTTGTATCTTTCTTTGAGCTACAGGCGAGGCTACAATGGTACTCTTGGGCCACATATAGACCCCCCAAGTACTGAGCTGTCACACCCTGAACCCTAAAACCTAAACCCTACAATCGTCACAGACCAAAAGTCAGCTGTTTTCTCCGGACGGGCGCAGGTGATCCGCTTGGCGGATCGATGCTGCTGTTAAATACGGCGGGAAGCAGTCTATCCTAAAGGTCAAAGGTACCAAACAGTAACATATATGATTATACATGCCCTCATAATCCTAGGAGGGTTTTGCTGAAGTTATCGTATACCAATTCAAGGACTATCGGCTGCTTAGTCAGGTACTTGGACCCTTCGGACGCGGAACGGTGGGAGCAAAACGCTTGCCAGAATGTTGGGTGGTGGGAGCAGATGTGTATTCATGTGGGTTTGGGCTCTAAGGCTTTGGGTCTAAGGGAGTTTTGTTTAGGATTTTGGGGTTCCGGGAGATTGGGTTCTCCACTCTCCTTGAAAGGAGGTACATATAAGCGTACTTACTAAGTCCAGTGACCCTCCCAGTAAGTAAGCCCTGAACGTGTGCTTGGCCCCTTGACGCGGCCTAGCTGCAGTGAGCTGGTAAACCCAATAATGCTTAAAGGGAGGGACACGTGCTTGGAGGATCACGGGGTTGCAAATAGTTATAAGTACAGTTACCCAAATTATAAGCTTAGTTTCTAAAACCCATGATCCTTTTAGTAACCCTAAGCCCTTATTTCAGATCCCATTATAGGAACCCCCCTAAGCCCTTATTTCAGATCCCATTATAGGAACCCTTATAGATCCCTTTTAAAGGAACCCTTATAGATCCTTTAAATGCAAACGGTAAAGCACCTCTGCCAAAAGCTTTGCACTTCCTCAGACCATAGCCTGACCTGCCTTAGCCTCGTAGGCCCTACCTGAACCCGGAAGAGCCTGCCTATTTTAAGGACGTATAGAAGGAAATCATAATAAGGAACCCCATAAAGGTAGGTTCTTCAGGGTTAGGGTAATCCTTGGGTCTTGTTAGTTTGGTTGGCAAGGGTGGCGCTTGGCCCCCACCCAAAATCGGATAAGACACTAGCCTGTGACAAGTCCGGTGCGCATCAGATTCTACTTGGAGGATCATGGGACTTAGTAAGTACGGTTATAAGTACCCTAATTGGGCTTATAAGTGGTTATAAGTATAGTTACCCTAATTATAACCCTAGTTCCTTCAAGTACATGGCTTTGGGAGGTAGGTGCAGGGCTCTGCGGGCCTCGACTAGAATACAATAGGGGCCTTGGATTTTGGGGGTACACTATAAGTTACTTATATACTTGGTTGACTTCTGAAGCCCTCCTAAAAGTTAAACTTATAGCCTCCTTATCATAGTTCATACAGAAAACCAGAAAGTTAAAGTCCTAAGAGCCAACCAGAAGAACGCCAAGCTTGTATTATGTAACCCGAAGGAGCGATTGTGTCAGGCTTGAGGACTTTGGGGTCTAGGATCCAGGCTGTGGGCTGCATTCTCGCTACTTGGAGGATCATGGGACTTAGTAAGTAAGCTTACAAGTACCTTAATTGGGATTATACGTAGTTATAAGTATAGTTACACTAATTATAAACCTAGTTACTAAGTCCCATGATCCTTTAAGTGCAGGCTGGAGAGTCTACAGTTTACGGCTTGCGTGGCCGGCCTTAGGGCTCAGGGTTGAGATTTAGGGTTTAGGGTCTAGGGTCCCTTGGAAGGGATCTATAAGGTTTCTATAAGGGATCTATAGGGTTTAGGGTCAGGGCTCCTGGTTTTGGGGCATTAAGGCTCGGCAAATCCGAAAACCTGTGCAAAATCGCCTAAAGAAAAGATCCCAGTGCGCAAATAGGAAGGTCTCGGGTACCAGAGAGCTTTCACAGTATAGTATCGGACCTAAAGAACTAGTCATATTTAGGTACTTAGACCCCTAAACGCCTAAACCCTAAACCTCGAAAACCCCACACAAATACCCAAACCCTAAATACTTGACCCCTAAACCGACCCCTGAACCCTAAACCCAGCAACCCCAAACCCCATAAACCCCTAAATTCCGCAACCCCAAACCCCTAAATCCCTAAACCCCTTAACCCTAGATCCCAAAACCCCAAGAAGCTGCACGGACACACGGACTGGACACGGGAGTCCCCAGGGACCTTTGGGCCCGCAATGAGACTTGGAAGCTAAACAGGCTGGTGGTCTCTTTCCCTTGAACAAAAGGGGTCCTCTATAGTGTTCCTTACAGGGATCCATAGGGGTTCTTTCAGGGATCTTTAGGCGAATTTTCCCTAGGGATTTAAGGACTCATATATTAAAGCTTTTGTGCCCAAAGACCATACTATATAAGGCTCTTGGGCTATTTTGATGCCCAGGGTTTGTCTGCTCCAAAAACTGCCTAATCTAGCCCCGATAATTCCCTATATACGGCCCCTTCAGACAGAGAGCCTAAGTAAAGAGACCGCCGAACCGTATAACTTGGAAGCGAGGATGCATGTCTTCGTCGACGTACCTAGGCCTAGTGAGGCATCTTTCATGGGCCTCCCTAAACCCTAAACCCTAAACCCTAAACCGGTTTAGGGTTCTTTTAAGGTTCTGGGTTTAGGGAGCTCGGAGGGTCCAGGGTTTTAGGGGTTTAAGCAACTACGGATACTATTTTGGGGGGTTCCTTACGCGGAAGGCGAGTGTGTACAGGAATTTGATATTTTAGCCGAGGGATTTGAGGCTTTGAAGAGTTTAGGGTTGCGGGCTTTGGGGGGCTGAACATGTGATCCGTCTGTGCAGGTCTATGGAGTTCCGTGGGCAGTGAGCGGGCCTTTTGGGATTGAAGGTTCAGGGTTTGGGGGCTGGCTGTTGTTACAGCTTAACGTCCTAAACCCCCTACCAAAGCCCTTAATATCGGATTTTGGTCTATGGCAGGTCTAATCAAGGCCCGGAACCCTAAGGAATGCCATGAGGATTTGTTCAGGCTTCTGTATCAACCGCATCAAAACCCTTACAAACCTTTGAGAAACATGACTAACCAAATCCCAAACCCCAAACCCACGAGACTGAACCCCAGTAAACTTACAACATTGAATTATAGTACCCTTATGGAAAAGTACTCCAAAGGTGGTACATGACCTACTAATCCCTCGTTCTCCCCAGTGCTCCCTAAGGTTCCCTTAAGGTTTTCTGAGGATCCCTTGTACCCCCCCTTGAACCACCCTCCCTTAAGGATCCTATAACTGAAGTGAAAGCTCCTGAAATCTCTCTCTGAGGCTTTCTGGGGGGTTCTCTGCAGGGCTCTCTCTTGGGGGGCTCTGGGGGGCTTTCTGTTGGGTTCTCTCAAGGCTCTGAGGGGTGGTTTTGGTAGATCCGAGACTCGATCAACCCAATAAGCCCAAAGCCCTCAGCCATCTAAGCACCTATATTGATTATGGACTCTTTGTAGGAAACCTGATAGACATCCGCCCCAAACCCTACACCCTGAAATTGTGATTATGGCTGCTTGATAGAACTCTCTCCCTAAAACCCTGAACCCTAAAACTATCTTGATAGAAACCTCTCCCTAAACCTTACCTTAACCCTGAAGAACCTACCTTTTTAAGGACTTAGATAAGGAAATCATCATAGGGAACCCCAAAAAGGTAGGTTCTTCAGGATTAAGGTAAACCCTAAACCCTAAACCTTAAACCTCAAACCTCAAACCCTAAACCTCAAACCTTAAACCCTAAACCCTATAAACCTTAAACCCTAAACCCTAAACGCAACAACTTCGTGAACCTCACAGGCGGAGATAGCGGTGAGGCAGTCCCAGCTCGTATCTGCTTCCGAGAAGCGTGGTTGTGAGCTTTTAGGGTTTGGGGTTTTAGGGTTTTAAGGTTTTGGGGTTTAGGGTTTAGGGTTTTGGGGTTTTGGGGTTTTGGGGTTTAGG